GGGGTCCAGCAGGCCCGACGATTTCGGGGGTCCCGCAGGCCCGACGATTTCGGGTGGTCCCGCCGACCCTGCGATTTCGGGGGGTCCCGGAGGCCCGACGATTTCGGGTGGTCCCGCCGACCCCGCGATTTCGGGAGTTCCCGCAGGCCCGACGATTTCGGGTGGTCCCGCCGACCCTGCGATTTCGGGGGGTCCAGCAGGCCCGACGATTTCGGGGGGTCCAGCAGGCCCGACGATTTCGGGGGGTCCCGCAGGCCCGACGATTTCGGGTGGTCCCGCCGACCCTGCGATTTCGGGGGGTCCCGGAGGCCCGACGATTTCGGGTGGTTCCCCCGCCGACCCTGCGATTTCGGGAGGGTCCCCGGGGCCCGAGCGAATTTCAGGTGGTCGTGCCGACGGCTGCTATTTCGGGGGGTCCCGCCAGGCCCGACGATTTCGGTGTCCCGGAGGCCCGACGATTTCGGGGTGGTCCCGCCGACCCTGCGATTTTTCGGGGGGTCCGGAGGGCCCGACGATTTCGGGTGGTCCAGCCGACCCTGCAATTTCGGGTGGTCCCGCAGACCCTGCGATTTCGGGGGGTCCAGCAGGCCCGGACGATTAGGGTGGTTCCCGCCGACCCTGCGATGTTCCGGGGGTCCAGCAGGCCCGACGATTTCGGGTGGTCCAGCCCGACCCTGCAATTTCGGTGGTCCCGCCGACCCTCGATTTCCGGGGGTCCGCAGGCCGAACGAATTTCGGGTGGTCCCGGAGGCCCGACGATTTCGGTGTCCCGCCGACCCTGCGATTCGGGGGGTCCCGCAGGCCCTGCGATTTCGGGGGTCCCGCAGGCCCGACGATTTCGGGTGGTCCCGCCGACCCTGCGATTTCGGGGGGTCCCGGAGGCCCGACGATTTCGGGTGGTCCCGCCGACCCTGCGATTTCGGGGGGTCCCGCAGGCCCGACGATTTCGGGTGGTCCCGCCGACACTGCGATTTCGGGGAATCCAGCAGGCCCGACGATTTCGGGTGGTCCCGAAGACCCTGCGATTTCGGGTGGTCCCGCCGACCCTGCGATTTCGGGTGGTCCCGCCGACCCTGCGATTTCGGGGGGTCCCGCAGGCCCGACGATTTCGGGTGGTCCCGCCGACACTGCGATTTCGGGGGTCCCGCCGACCCTGCGATTTCGGGGGGTCCCGCAGGCCCGACGATTTCGGGTGGTCCCGCCGACACTGCGATTTCGGGGAATCCAGCAGGCCCGACGATTTCGGGTGGTCCCAAAACCCTGCGATTTCGGGTGGTCCCGCCGACCCTGCGATTTCGGGTGGTCCCGCCGACCCTGCGATTTCGGGGGGTCCCGCAGGCCCAACGATTTCGGGTGGTCCCGCCGACACTGCGATTTCGGGGGTCCCGCCGACCCTGCGATTTCGGGGGGTCCCGCAGGCCCGACGATTTCGGGTGGTCCCGCCGACCCTGCGATTTCGGGGGGTCCCGCAGGCCCGACGATTTCGGGTGGTCCCGCCGACACAGCGATTTCGGGGGATCCAGCAGGCCCGACGATTTCGAGTGGTCCCGCCGACCCTGCGATTTCGGGGTGTCCCGCAGGCCCGACGATTTCGGGTGGTCCCGCCGACCCTGCGATTTCGGGGGGCCCGCAGGCCCGACGATTTCGGGTGGTCCCGCCGACACTGCGATTTCGGGGGATCCAGCAGGCCCGAAGATTTCGGGGGGTCCAGCAGGCCCCGACTATTTCGGGGAGTCCCGCAGGCCCGACGATTTCGGGGGGTCCAGCAGGCCCCGACGATTTCGGGGGGTCCCGCAGGCCCGGCGATTTCGGGTGGTCCCGCCGACCCTGCGATTTCGGGGGGTCCCAGAGGCCCGACGATTTCGGGTGGTCCAGCAGGCCCGACGATTTCGGGTGGTCCCGCCGACCCTGCGATTTCGGGGGGTCCCGCAGGCCCGACGATTTCCGGGGGTCCCGCAGGCCTTACGATTTCAGGGGGTCCCGCAGGCCCGACAACTTCGGGGGGTCCCGGAGGCCCGACGATATCGGGGGGTTCCGCGGGCCCGACGATTTCGGGACCCGAATGTGAAATTCATGCCCGGTTCGCATTGAACAGACAATATTGTGCGTATTTTTATATTTGGAATCATTTTTCGAATAGTTTTTTGCATTCCATTGTGAGTTAAATTTATTTAGATAAATACTGCCAGTTATACCACCTTCAGCACCCGCTGATGAACTTAATGCATGCCTCGAATAATCAGCTTTATGGCGACATTTACAGAAATTGACTTTGATAACCAACATGCGTGTACAGCTACAACGGGATGCATCGGCTTTTGCAAAACAGTTAATGGATAGCGGAAGTGGGCGAATGCAAATTGTTGAATCTACGCAATGTATCACCTTGCCAGCAAACTTCTGTAACATCACAGAAAGTATAGACGAATTGGTGCAAAAAGTTTTCCCAAAAATTGCACAGTACTACAAAAATCATTTGTTATTTAGTACGCGTGCTATATTAGCGGCCAAAAACATCGATGTCAATACTTCACTATTCAGAATAGAATACCCGGCGAAACGACAACATATAAGTCTATTAGATGTTAATGTAATGTAATTATTTGTTCTTTATTTATTGTTGTTACATAATTAGTAACAAAAAATTATAAAAAAAATAATTTCCAAAAAAAAACTTTTCACCATATTCCTTGTGTGGTCATCCAGATACATGCAAAAGGACAAGGGTGTATAGCAGCTTGCTAGGACTGAATCTTGTTGCGAATGCCATTGGTGAGAAATGAAAAGCGACCCGTCCAGTTTCCAAATATAGCAATTCGCTTGCGTGCTTTGCGGAAATTGTAGTCCTGGATGTAACTGTATTTAAAACGGTAGCGCTTGATACCTGCTGATATTATCTGATCTTAGAACCTTTAGGACTAGAAGGGCGATCCGTTAAGTACTTAGCCTACAAAAGAAAAACGAAAATTTTGGAAAAGTGGCGATTTATTTCTCAGTTCGGACATTATCTAATTTTATCTTAAATTTTGTTCATTTTTTCTTTTATAAGACATTGAAATATATTGCTTGGACATCATATTAACAAAATTATTATCAAGTAATATGATGTTAAACTATAAAACGAAACCAATATTGATCACAACGCAATATTTGGCTGACACATGCATGTTGGGACGAACCGTTGGGATGAACCTTTTCATTAGCTTGTTACGTCTCCCTTTGCCTTAATAACAGCATTTATTCTGGCTTGCATAGTTTTAACAAGATTTTCGTAGTCTCCCATATATTTTGTAATTTCACTCGTAAATCGGGAATGTTTGGTTGTGGATCATCTTAGCTGCTGCTTCATTGTGTGCCATACAGTTTCGATAATATTTAAATCAGGACTACTGGAAGGCAAGTCAATGAGAGAAATATTATCCTGCAAGCATTTTTTCATGGTTTTGGCCGTATGACATGACGACCCATCTTGTTGAAAAATAAAGTTTATATCAAGTGATAAAATTTGAATTGCAAATTGATTTCAATGATATTTTGATATTTAGCTGCGTTCACAGTTCCAACTATGAAGTGATGTTTTCCAACGCCAAAAGCAGATATGCTTCCTCATACCACTTAACCTGATGGAAACTTTACTATTTAGGTAGTCTTTATGAAACGCTTCATTTTTGTTTCTTATAACCCGGGATCGGTGGTCACCCACATAAGCATCAAATTTCGATTCATCGCTAAAAATGATCTTTTTCCAGTCTTTGTAAGTCCACATTGCCCGTTCCTTAGCCCACGCTAATCGCTTTTTCTTTTGTTTTTCCATGAGCAATGGCTTTTCTTTCGCCTAAAGCAAAGATTTTACTGAATAAATATGCCATAGCAACTTACGGACCTCATAAAAATGTGAACCACACTTATGAATCCACCGACGGCACGTTTCTCGTGAAATATTTCCTGCTGTTTCTCCATTCTATTTTGCTGTTATGTCCCTTACAGTACCTTGCCGACCAGCTTTGCTCATACGAACAAGAGATATTTGCATTCTACGACTGATCTTAAGCCGCGTACAGACCGAGATTCCAGCGCAAGCCAAGGCACATGTGTGTTACAGATTTGGAGGTGTTCGAATTGGTGTGTACGGCGCTAGCCAACATAAGCCAACGGTTTCCAAGGTCGGCGTTGGCGTTCGTTTGCGTTCGCTCCTTGATCGGTACATCAAAGGCAGGTTTGATTTGGTATGGACAGGATTTGCTGCGCATCTAATATTTAATCGTTTGTCTGCATTGGATGAGAGGAGACTCGTTGCTCGACATTAGCACCGAACTTAACCCGACGCGGTCCAATTCGAAACTAAATTTAGATGTAGACGACGTGTAGGCGAGCGCATTGAAATATCTTCCAACAACAAACGCCAACGTCACATGTGCTTGCATTCGCTTGCTCGGCTTTTGATTTTCGGTCTGTACGAGGCTTTAGGTGGTCTACCAACACCGTGTCTTGAAACTTGAGTTGAGCCTGTGTTAAGATACTCATACAAGATCTGCCACCGTATACTTTGCGACATTTATTTGTTTACCAATATCTCGATAACTCTTTCTTTGATGACACAATTTTATGATTAAAACTTTGATTGCACCGTTTGATGCTTCACCACCCGACATTTTAAAGCAAATTGATTCACAGAATTGATTCTTTAATCAAAACGTCAAATCAAGCTATTACTTTCTTTTTAATATCATGTCCGAATATTTATGTGTCAGCAAAGTGTTGCGATGTTTTCATTATTAGTTTGATTTTATATTTCAGTATCATATCATTTCAAAACGGTTTTGTTAATATGATGTGCAAACAATATATTTCATTGTCTTATAAAAAATTATTAACCTTACAAAAATAAACAAACTTTTAGATAAAATTAGATAGTTACAACATTTTTGTGTAAGGGCTCGTAGTTTATCGGGCCGGGCCGTCCTCCTATGTTTCAGCTATCAGAATTGAAATATACTCACGTCTCTGTCAGATGCATAATGATGGGGTTTCAAACTGTTGTACGTATGTGATGGCCTGTTGTAGTGTCTATGATCGCAGTCTGCTTCTTGAAGGTAGTCTTCATTATATGAGTTGTGGGGGTGCGGTGGGTGTCCATAGCTGGGCTTTTGATACATTGGTTCAGGACCTTGTTCATTATTTTGCACGGGGTATACCTACCATCAAACGTTTATAAGTTAAGATCTTACTTGAAACTACCAGAAATCCCAAACATGCAGTTTGTGTAGTATTAAAAAAACGTTTTTCCGGTTCGATTTTTTTTAATTTCCAGCGTTACCAATGTACAACGCGACTGGCGTAACATTGCAACAATAAATAACATTATGTAAATATTTTATGTTTATTTGTTTTGTCGAAAGCAGATATAATATAAGACGACTTTACTGTAGATTTTATGAAAAACATGCAATAAAGTGCTTTTTATTTTTTATCACACAAACGAAGCCAGATATGAAAGAAACTCAAGAGGCAAAAAAGTTGTACTTTTCACTGTTTGGTTCGAAAAAAAAAATAGAAAAATTGAAAAGAAGCCATTGGCGCCATTGTACTAATAGTTTCAATCGAATCAGGGCCTCTTACTGCAATTAATACCACTGACCACTGCTAAATTTAAACAAAATCGACTGAAAGTTTAGATATTTAGGAAAAACTAATTTTCTGAAAAAAAGTTTGACACCCTGTATCTTGCCAATGAAGCATTTCTTTTCATCTTAAAATTACTTAAAGAATCACTTCCTGAAGTTGAGCCACGCAATTAAATAACACCCTGTATAACAACTGGTTTTCCAATTATTTTAGAAACTGATCGATGAGGCAAAAGGCAGGACTTAATAATAATACGAGGGATGTCTTTTAAGTTTTGCATATGGAAATAAAACAACACGGTAGGTAGTTTTAAATGACTTTATTGTCTTTCGAAGTATTCTCCACGAAGATTAATACACATCTGCATGCGCTAGAACCAATTTTCGAAGCACTTATTCCACTCGTTTACTGGCAGATCCAAAACGGCATTTTTAATGCGTCAACTGCTTCTTCTGGTGACTGGAACCTTTGACCACGCAGTCTGTTTTTAATTTTCGGGAAAGTAAAGAAATCGATAGGACTTAGATCGGAACTATATGGAGGATGGTCCAACAGTTCCACGTTTTCCTCCATTAAATACTGCCTTGTTCTTTGGGCTGTGTGTCTTTTGGCGAACAAATGGTGGTATACCAAACTGCGGTAACAGTCACACGTCGAGAACGGATTACTTTTGTTGGCTTTTCTTCAACTTGGAACAGCCAAACAGCCGACTGTCGTTTATTTTCTGGTTCATAACAGTTAATCCACGATTCATCACCACTAACAATGCCGTACACATTTTTTGAGTTTCCGGAATTGGAACGGTCCAGCTTTTTTTGACACCAATTAACACTGGCTGCTTTCAACAGGTGGGGTATTTTCTTACTCCTAATTCTTCATGTAAAATTGTTTGAATTGAGGTCTTTGAGATGTTCAAGGACGCCTCAATCTCGCGATATATCACATGTCTATCTTCAATGATGAGTTTGCGCACAGCATCGACGTTTTCCTGGGTGACTGCCGTTTTTGGTGCATCCACACTGGGATCGTCGCTAAGACTCACCCGTCCACGTTTGAATTCTCCATAACAATGGGAAATTGTCGGCTCATGTGGCGCTTCGTTGCCGAAAACAGGCAGTAACTCAGCAAGGCATTCTTGTTGCGATAATTGTCTCTGAAAGTTGTAATAAATTATGGCGCGAAAATGTTCTCGGTTGAGTTCCATTTTTCTAATGACTTGGTGACACTTAAAAATTCACTGTAATGAGAGCAATGCACGTATCGTTGTGAAACTTTGAATTTAAGTTTACTAAAGAGTGAGGTTAAGATTCAGTACTGACGTTCGATCCGCGCGGCCTACTAAGTTTCTATATGCAAAACTTAAAAGACATCCCTCGTAGTGATAATAACAATAATAATAATAATAATAATAACAATAATAATAATAATAATAATAATAATAATAATAACAATAACAATAATAATAATAATAACAATACTAATAATAGTCGAAATCCCCAGCAAGGATCAGAACATGTTGTTGATAGTACCAACGCACACATAAGGGATAGCACTTCTACATTGGGACAGAAGAACAGGTGTCCCGCTGATTCTGGTAGCTTGCCTTCTCGTCACGAGGCGACTGCTGGCAGATCAGTGACTGATCGACGATTGAGATGGACTAGAGAAATGAACATTAAAGTAATGCGAACCTTTTTTTTGTTAGCCAGTGCTCAGAAAATCCCTTACCTGTGCCCGTATGCTTGACTTCAATAGAAAATCACACTCCCTCTCTTTTTCTACTTCCCCGGTTTTCTATCAATTCGAAAATACTGTATTCTTGAAAGGACTCGATAGAAAGGAGAAAGGAAATCAAGACACAGGGTTGTCAGGTTTGGGTAAATGTGTTAAACCAATCAAAATGGAGATAATTTTGACTTTTTGACAGTCAAAAACTAACCAAAGATTTCGGCCAAGATTTTCTCATTATTTTATCTGTCATTTTATCTATGGAGTCGAAAACGTCCAACAAACACCTTACAAATGAGCAAAAGGAGAAATTGATTGAATTTCTCCGAGAACACCCGCAAATTCACCAGGGAAAATTCACGCCGGCATATACCCGTGCCCAGTCCAAGGCATTATGGACTGAAATGGCAAACAAATTAAATGCGTTGCCTAATGGAGTTAGTAAAGACTGGGTGCAATGGCGAAAAGTAAGTATTACATTATATCTCTGTCGAATTATACTATTAAATAATGCATTTTGCATTTGCTTGCAACTGATGTAAAAAATTATTATCGTTCTAGACATGGATTGATATAAAAAAAATTCAAATTCGAGACTAGCACATAGGAAAAAAGATCAGTCTGATACAGGGGGTGGTCCACCTCCAAGGCATGATTATGTCGAAGGCAAGATTATGGAACTAATTACTCCAGTTTGTGTCACTGGAAATGAGAATGTTCCAGACCCATTTGTGTTGGAAGAAATGCCTCATAGGGTAAGTGCTAGCATATCAGCATAAGATAAAATAATACTGAATTTAAATACTTGATTTATTACACAATCCAATCCAAGTGTATAGTATAAAGGTACAAGATATGTTACATGGCATATACTGATTTTAAGAGATATTAAAGTATAGCCTGGTTTATTTGAAGTAGATATTTGTATGACCTGATGAATATTTCACTTTTAGTTAGGATAAGTTTTTCTAAATAGCAATAATGCACTTTTTTTCAGCTGGATTATGATTACTGTGGTAATTTGGAAGAAGACACAGATATGGCAATTGAAGTTGGACAGGCTGATGTTGCAAACACAGAATTAAATGACATAAATGCTTCCCAAGCTACAAATTTAGAATTCTTAAATCCTGTTTTAAATACTGACACAAGTGTCAAAAGACCACATAAGAGAGTTAACAAAACAATATGCTTAACAGAATCTATAAAGAATAATAAAAGATTTTTACAGCTAACCATGGAGTCAATGAAAAGTATAAAAAATCATCAGACTGAAAAGCTGAAAATATTGAAATCGTACTATGAACAAAAGATAAAAAATTAAAATAGGAAAGCCACAACACTAGAAGATATTTCTAATAGTATTAATAAAGCATGTGAATATACGTATATGAATTAATTTAATTATTCAGTTTATGAGAAACCTTTGAAGTGTTATATCTACGTACCTGTTAGAATTAACTTTTGTGAATAATATTTTTTTTGTAAGTACAACTGTTAAAATTTATCTTGTTTGTTTCTTTGGTTCTGATTAATGCTTAGACTTGAGACTGGTATGAACCTGTTGAAATTAACTCGGGATCAATCTTGAAGCCTTACGTTGTTAAGTTAGAGTGCTTCAAATTATTTATTTTTTTAGAAATAATTGTTTGGTTTAGTCAGATTTGTTTTTTAAAGGATACTTGTTTTGTTTGTCTGTTTTAGTTAGTGCCAAACTGAAGATTATTTATATTAAGCTTGAAATCAAACCAACTATAGTTTTATAGCAATGTTCGCACCTGTTAGAATAAAGAACAAATGTCTTTTTTACAAATTTTGGAATTTATTAGTGTAGATATTTATTTTATCCATTAAAATGATTTAATATTATGTTCTCCTGTATCTGCCTTGCAGTAGCTAGGTCAAGGATTTCCAGCTACTCTTCTTTGCTGTAGATTTTCTACAGTGTAATGCCATAGTCCGGCTCCTCTGGATGTGGCTCATCTGGGTCAGGTATACCATTATCAATGCACATTTTGTGTAAAACACAACATGCATTAACAATTTTTCCTGCTATTGTAGGACATCAAGTGTGTAGGGTCCTGTACCGTAAAAGGCATCTAAACCTGTTTTTCAAGACACCATTACTTCATTTTGTTTCTTGAAAGTTACATCTCTCCAAAGAAAGTCTCTACAAGTTGTTGCATTTTAGAAAAAGTAAGAAGAATACCTAATATATACACTATGCCGCTAATTAAGAAAACTTACCTTCTACGCAGAACGCATCAATTGATTGAAATTATCCATTTTTTGCAATATGTTTAACGAACGACAATAACAATGCCAAAAACGTCAATTTTTAGATTATATAGCGCTATTTTCTACTAATTTTTCAAGTTTCTCTTGGTCGGTACCAAGAGAAATCGCGACTCCCTAAAGTGAATTCATCAATTCTATCACTTTTAGGTAGAAATGATTTCAAGAATAGTGCATTTCTTGGCCACGCCCACTTTTTGCCACTTTCTCTTACAATTTCTACTCCCTCAAACTCAAGAATAGGGACACTGGTTGGAGAGCCAGACTATTTGAGGAATTTAGGAAGCTACGAGTATAATGATTACCTCGATGACAGACGTCCATCATCTGCCATTAATTGTAAAATTTTTGCATCCGGAGAAATTTTTATATTTTGGCAAGAAAGAAAGCAATAATATTATGGAAGCTGAATCCGAGTGGTCCCCAGGCGACCCCTCTACTGCTTTGAGTGGAGTTGGCGCGGAGTGCAGCGCTACTTTGGAACATATTCCAGAAAACCAAAACGAGGTGACGCCAATGATGACATCAGGGATGACACCGATACTGG